GGACATTAAAAATAATGTACTTGTGAACCAAAAGACCTTTATAAGTTGACTCGGGGACCGTATACTCAACAGTGCTGCAATGCTCAGGGTTTTTACAGTGTATTAAAATGAACGGGGATGAAATCAATGATTAGCATTTAGCAGTTTATTTATTAGTTGATTCAGGTGTGTTTGATTAGAGTTGGAGCTAAGCTCTGCAGGACGATGCATCTGTTCACCTACATTTCTTTAATGTCTAGCTTAAACGGTGTGTTTCCAAACATTGTTCAGTTAATGCTTTGCAAAAACCAGTGGGATGCATTTGTGTGTGTGTGTGTGTGTGTGTGTGTGTGTTTTTTTTTAAATAAATGTTTCTTCTGAGCTAAGCATTGCAGGACATTTAATCCATATTTGGCCAAATCCTTGAAATAAAATAATTTCTGTTCACTTATATTTTTGTAATGTCTAGCTTAAACAGTGTGCTTCCAAACATTGTTCGGTTAATGCTGTGCAAAAACCAGTGGGTTGCATTTCTTTTTTTTTTTTAATAAAACCTTTGTAGTTCAAACCTATGAATGGCACTTGTAGTGACGCATGAACAAAGACATTATCAATCAATCAAAAAAAAATAAAAAATAAGCTTTGCGGATCCTTAGCGGTTTCCCAAGGGTCCTTTGTTGTTTCTTTGAGGATTTGATGGTATTCCAGAACTGATCTTTGGAGGTCTCTTCAGGGGAATAACAGTAGAATTTCTTTCCCTTGTAATCGGACTGTCTCTTGAAATCCTCCTGTAACTCTTTACAGTCTAGTGAGCTTTAACAACTCTTCAGGAGTCCTCTGAAATCTCACTTGATCTGCCCATATTGCACTTGAATGGAAATACTTTGTACACAGCAGGTGACCAGGACAGGTGTTTTGCAGGTCAGGTCGAACCCCACGCCTACATTGAAAATATAATTTTAAATGTCCTTCTCTGAGCTTTATCTTTACTAACCTTTATTGTTTATTTTAAATGAATAAATAGTAAAGCAGACTTCTTTATATAAATTAGTGCTCAAAGGTTTGGGGACAGTAAGATTCATATAGGGTGTTTTTTTTTTTTATTCATAAAGAACATATTAAACTGATCAAAATTGACAGTAAAGTCATTTAAGATGTTTTGCACTCATATAAAGTTTTCTATTCCAAATAAAAGCTATTCTTCGTCTCAGTTTATCAATGAATCCCAAGGAAAAGAAAACACTTCCACCACACTTTATTAAGCAACACAACCATTTTCAACCAAAAATAATAATAATCAGAAATGTTTTTTGAGCAGCAAATCCATCATATCAGAATGATTTATAAAGGCTCATGTGACACTGAAGACTGGAGTAATGATGCTGATTCAGCAAATTCAGCTTTGCAGAAATAAATAAAATACATACTTTTACATGATTGTTACACCATCTGACATTTTTGGTCACTAATCATTTTTGTTTATTTTTTATTGTTTCTAAAACATATGAAATCATCATGAATCACTTCTGTGTATCTGGCACATGCATTTTTTCTTTTTTTTTTACTAGATGTTTCAAGATTTTGTCAAGATGTTTTTTTTTTTCCACAAAAATCCTCATCATGTCACTGAGCCATGACACTGAGACACATGTTCTCTACTGAATCCCTTCAACTCTGGTTAACCTCTGTCCTGATTTATCCAGCTGTGCAGATTCGGTCAAAGCCCTGACACCCCTGATAACGCACACTGTATGTGTAAAAGCTGTTGATAGCATCCGTCTTTCATGCAGAATCTACACAGATTAACATATACATGTTTATTCTGTAGCTCAAGATGCTTCACCGCTCATCCAACTGGCTTCAGCAGTTGTGATCGGATGATGTGATCTCTTCATACTCAGTGGCATCATCTGAAATAGTCATCTAGGAAAACTCTCATGAAGATATTAAATGACAGCTCATTAATGGTGGAATCCCGGGTAACTGAGAGATTAATGATATAATAATATTTGTAGGTAGCTGAGAAACAGCTGCAGACCGCTTCTCCTGTTCAAGTTGGCAGCTCCACTTCCACATCGATGGCCTCCTTAACTCTTCTCTCTGAGACCCTCTATGCTCTCTGTCTCAGATCTTCATTTGACTGCCCTTGAGCGTGTGGTCCTTGTCCTTTAGCTGCAGATACACTGCTGTGTTTTGTCCGCAGATGTGTTGTGACATGCACTCACACTGTGGTGGTTTGGTTTGCTGATGTACAGCTTTGGACGTTCCTCATCACAGAACTGCATGAGTGATGGTACTCTGTTTGTCCTTTACTGCATATATGATGAACGTCCTCTGTTCAGTCTGTTTGAAGTGGATGTTGTTTGTTGAAGGTACCTGTATAGTTTTTCAAATGCTCCAGTCATCTAGAGAATGACAATATTGTTTTGTTAATTTTGCTTTTCACCGTTTTGGTCTCTATGTTGAACCGTTTAGTGGTCTATGGATCTACTAGAGCAGGGGGTCAAATTGGACACTAATAATAATAATAAAGATTAAAAATATATATTTTTAGCTATGTCAAAGTTAACATGTTAGCTTAAGATATTGCATAGCATGAAAATGTTTAAAATATTTGTTGATATGATTATTACTGTTTTATTTTGATGTCTAAAAACTACAGAAATCATGAAAGTAATCACAATTATTTTTTCTATTGACACCATAGTTTTTAACAGTATGAAATAATAATAATTACACACACACACACACACACACACATATATATATATATATATATATATATATATACATATTATTACTTTGTCTAATCATCTTATTTAGTTGTCTAATGTCTGGAAATTCTGAAATCACGGCAATAATCACAACTATTTAACAGTAACACTAATTAACAGTAATTATATAACAATAAGAAATAATAATATTAAAAAATGTAACAGATTATTAATATAATTACTGTTTCATTTTGCTGTCTAAGACTGGATATTAATCACAATTATTTGATCACATTGACTGCCATAGTTTTTAACAGTAAATAATATCAATAAATAAATAACAGTAAATAATATAAATACATTAAAGTAATTTACTAATTTATTTTGTCATCTAAATACTAGAACATTCTACTATGACCAGGATAACAGAATCTTCACAGACATTCTCATGGCTTTTAGAGTGAGTGAAAAAATCAGGATGACACAGCCGTAAGACCATTTTAGTTTCTATTAAAGCCTCTTCCACAGGCATACATCATGTTGACTGTAAATGAATTAAACTGAACTGAGTTCTCCCTACCGTAGCGTACAGGTAAAAAATAAAAATGCCGAGAACCCATTTCTCAAGTTCATTCTCCCATCAGAGCGCTGGAGAGTGCATGTAAATGTTGTGCATCACAAACCATAATTCTTCATTTTTAAGTCAATATCAAGGCACAGAAAAAGCAGCGCTTCCCGGAGATTGCTCTGAGCAAACACACATACAGCGCCTCATATATAATGAACTGGACACATTCTGCAGATGAGGAAGTCAGACGTGCTGAGCATCACATCTATTCATTCAGAGCCATCCAGTGATGGCTGACACGTCCTGGCTCTTCTGTTGTAGACGGGTCATATAGAGCTTTTTTTTTTCTTCTGCCATTTGTGTAGCGTTTTTCTGAAAAGTCATTTAATGGGGTGGGGAGCGGTGCGATGGCAGCTGCATGCTGGGAGAGCAGACACAGGGCTTTTCACGCCACCCGGGCCGGGCAGAGCAACTGAGCCGTGCAAAGCCTGAATAGAGGAAGTGCAAAGAGAAGTTCGAGCAATCTGCAGTATAGAGGAGTTGCCAAAAAAATGTTGACTTTGTTGCGTTCGTGCCTGTGTTCCCCACCTGCGATAAGGCTTTCGAGTGGAGGCGGCACGTGATCTCAGCTCTGAATGAATGCATTTGCATAATCCGCAGTGAATTACTCTGGCTATCACCTTTAAAAATCAGCATTTTTTTTTTTTAATGCATGTTGATATCTGGAAAAAACACTGTCAGAATGTTCTGCTACAAAGTACAGTTGGTCCTTTCAACAACAGTGACAAAAAATATTTCGAAAGTTAATTACAGCACACAAATGCATTTAAAAACATAAACGTATAATGACATGTTAAGGTACATTTGGTTAATATTTTTGCTGCTCATGAATATTTTCTATGTTTTCTGGTTAGTATACAGGAACTGGAGTTAATCCTTTTAGCAAACCACATACAAACCAATTTCGACCTGTCAGTCTATCAACCCACTGTTCTTTAGGGAGGAAATGTGAATTTGGTTTATTAAAAAATCCAGGGGAGCTATTGCACATGATCTTTGATATCTGAATGATGTTTTTAAATTGTAATAATTTTACATATTAATAACACCAACAACATTTAATACAACTATTTTATTTATTTATTATGGATACATTTTAAAATATGTTTAGTAAGCAAATTTCTAATCAGTATTTTCCTCTATAGACTATAAGAAGTGTTTTTATAATGCATTTGTTACCTTAATGAACTATTTCTACCTAACTTAACTCGAAAAAATGGTTTTGTTTGTATAAATTGACACATTGTTTAATTCAGCATTTTATTTATCTATCTACTTTTTTATTTGTTTATTTATTTATTGACATTTTTAAACCAAATAATTTAGATGTTACTATTTTTAGGTTTTCAGTCATAGCTGTTACTATATGTGCATTTTAACATTGCTGGAATGCTGTATCGACCAATCAGTATCCGGGACGATGCTATCTGTTTTATATTCAACTCAAGTTGCATTGCAGATGTTTTGTACTTTGCACAGTTGTTTTTAAACTGCTGTAGGACAACCTAGAGATCTAATCCAAAATGACAAAGTCACATGAATTCTCTTTGTGTATATACAGAACACTTCATTTGTGTAAAATTGAAAATGCACGCTGAATATATTTTATGTGACAGCATGTCAACACCTGTGAAGCTCTGGAGTGTGAGCTAACGTAAAAATTATTGTTTTCCTGCCAGGATTTTCCATTCTTCAAGCCATTATGGAGGCTGCAGTGGCAAACAACTGGCAAGTTACAGCGCGGTCGGTGGGCAGCATCACAGACCCCCAGGAGTTCCGGCGCATCATTGAGGAAATGGACAGGAGACAGGAGAAGCGCTTCCTCATCGACTGTGAAGTGGACAGAATCAATGTCATCTTGGAGCAGGTAAAGTCTGCATCTCCCCCCTGCCCGTTTCTTCACTTTTCTGGCTGGTTTGACGTCTCTTCCCTACCCATAAAGCCCTGCACTGAAAACTCGTTTATTTAGCAAGAATCCAGTCCCTGATTTATTAATATTCCTGAAGTCCATCAGTCTACCATGTCGTCTCCACATGGATGACCTGACAGAGCTGTAGTTGGGTTCTCTGAGCGTACAATTAAACTGAATGGGTGAGCAGATATTTGAGCACGACAGTTCTCTTCTCTTCTCTTTGGTCTCTAATAGATCCGGGTGGCTCTTTGATGTCTGTCTGTGAAGGGTAATCAGCCCGTGAATTAGAATGTCCTCATTAGCACTAATTTAAATGTATTAGCTTCAGTAGCACAATACCTCCTCATTGAATTTTTTGTTTCGATTGCTTTTATGAATGTGTTCTGCATCTAAATTTAATCTATAATATATATTTAGCATTAATTTACCATGGCATAATTCATTTTTTTCTACTCTGCCAAAATGCACAAATAATGTTGTCATTGCTCTATTTTTTTGTTTCCAACTCAATACTTTTTTTCTGCAGCCTAGAACTTTTTTCTGCAGCTTAGGTTCCTGAAATGATTTTTCTTATTCATTTTCTCCATAGTGATTTCAGAAAATCTTTCAATAGAGTTCTAAGCCTCAAACCACAACAGCCAGCTTTGAGATGAATCACAACATTACAGCATGATTCGAGGCAAAAAAGGTTCAAGACTGAACACGTGTTTTATAGATATAGACCTGTATCATTTATTTTAGTGTAAAATAGCATCTAAGTTTATTGCAAAAGTGTCTTTAAATGTAATTAAATATGAGAAGATATTTTGAAAAATGTGGGTAACCAAACTGTTGCTAGTCCCTATTGACTTCCATAGTATGGGAGAAAACTAAAACTAAAACAAAAAAAAAAAACTGTGGAAGTCCAACAAATGTTTGGTTTCCAACATTCTTCAAAATATCTTCTTTTGTGTTCAGCGGAAGAAAGAAGCTCATTTAGGTTTGGAACAATATGAGGGTGAGTAAATGATGACAGAATTTACATTTTTTTAGATGGACTCTCCCTTTTTCCAAGGTAACTTTGATTGGAGTTTTCTCTTCAGCATTGTGGGTAGTGTTGTTCTTCACGTGGAATTGTTTCATTTTTTTAACTTGGACCTTACTCATAAAAGATGGGCAGATCAGATGTATATATCTTTATGTATATCCTTCATAAAAACATTCAGTAACACTTTATTTTAAGGACCAATTCTCACTATTAACTAGTTGCTTATTAGCATGCATATTACTAGCACACTGGCTGTTTATTGGAGCTTTTAAGTACATGTTAAAGGGGTCATATGATGCGATTTCAATGTTTCCTTTCTTTTTGGAGTGTTACAAGCTCTTGGTGCATAAAGAAGATCTGTAAAGTTGCAAAGACTAAAGTCTCAAATCCAAAGAGATATTCTTTATAAAAGTTAAGACTTGTCCACGCCTACCTAAAACGGCTCGTTCTAACACGCACCCCCACATGTCTATGTCACTGTGTGGGAAGATTTGCATAACGCTGCCCCAATTGTTCACGCAAAGAAAGAAGGCGTAACTTTTATTCTCGCTGTTGTATTGTTGTTGCCACCGCCATGTTGTGAAGACGCTGTGTGTTTCGTTGTGAAAGTGAAACTACTTTGTTTCCAAAAGAGGACAATATCCGCTTTGTCATGCCTGGAGTTGATCCGTGCTGGTCGCTGAGGGAATACATCAACTTCATGCTGTCAATCGCCGGATCGGCTTTCACATGGACATGGAACAGTTGTCGTCACATGTGGTTGCCGCAAGCCTCCTTCGTCGAATCCGCCGGGCGCCACTCACTCAAGCCGCTGTGTGTTTCATTGTGAAAGCGAAAGTACTTTGTTTGGCCTTCCAAAAGAGGACATAATGTTTCTAGCCACTGATGATTCAAACGCGAGTTTGAGCAGTGTAGAGTAGCGCTTGATGTTAGTCATTTCTCCGATCACAAATGGTTTTATGTTTCCGCGATGCTATATGCAACGCAAAGCGTAAAAACACAGTATAAGTCATTGTAATCAGTAATTATGTCCCCACTGGATGCAACAAATGCCTCGTTTGTAATGGATTTTATTGGTTTTGTCTCGTCGCGCCAGGACACATGGAAACACAATATTTCCATTACACGCTTGAGGTATTCAGCCAATCACAACACACTGGATAGCTGGCCAATCAGACTTTTTAGCAACATCATATGACCCCTTTAATGCATTATTCTGCATGACCATATTTTAGATCCCTTAACCCTACCCCTTACCTAAACTTAACAAATACCTTATTAACTATTAATAAGCAGCAAATTAGGAGTTTACTGAGACAAAAGATGTAGTTAATAGTTAGTTAATTGGTTCCCAAACTAAAGTGTGACCAAATTTTCTAACATAACATGAACATGAAACCTTGAGCTTGTGTTCACCACCGACCTTATTTCAGGCATTTAATCAAAAACCCATGGAAAAACCTACTGACCTCAGGATGATGGAACAGTACGTGCTAAACATGTTTTTAATCCCTTTTCCGACCTCAGCATGTATTGGCTAAACTGGATCTAATTGAACTAATCTCCCCAGCCCTGCTGACACTGATAGCCGAGATATGTTTCTGGACCGCGGTCCTTCAGAGACCTGCAGCGAGAGCTGATTCCAGACAGGAGAACCGCGCTATAGACTTCTGCTCACCGTAATCCATCTGCATTTTGTGATCTCGAGCTGTTCGGCACAGACTGTGAATGGGAGCTGGCCTCCAGAGGGTTTCAACAGCTGAGTTAAGCTTCGTGAAGAGCAATGGTGACAGCTTTTACTACCCTGCTATACTGAGTATGTCAACCCATCGTAATAATTTATAAGCAGTGCCCTTGCAGTGGGAGCGCGGAGGGGCTTGTGCCTTTTCAAGAGGAAAACTAGCTTGTGATCTGGGGTTTACACTCAAGATGTGTCATTTTACTCTGTGAGAGCATGATGGCCTGTCATAAGCAGAGTGACATTTCATGAGTCATTCTACTGTATGTGTGAATATGGTAAATAGTGCTGCAAAATGGTACAAAATGCCAATATCTGCTTTGTGAAGAATTTGATGCAATTGCCATGAGGATTTATGTGTCTCTGTAATGATTGAATATGAACATGCACGTTGTTTGATTAGTCTCAGAGCATCTTTGTTGGAGCATTGGCTCCACCTGGGCTTTCTGTGCTGATGTTCGAGTAAAGACATCAACCTGTCCGTCTTAATCTAGGGAATATGGTGGGATGAAGAAATGATATCTGGTACTAACTTTAAGATACAATATGCAGATCTAACTAAAAAGCCAGGATGTGTCGGGAGTGTGGGAGGAAAAATATTAAAATGCGTTGAGAGCCAATGCTTCACTGAAGCCTTGCTAGATCTGCCACCATGAAGCATAAATAATAGGTCTCTTCAGATCCCTGGCAAAACCGATATGCAAATAGAAGGCCAAACAGGAAATAAGTGTTCAAACTCAAAATATAAATTAAAAATCCATAAAGTACATCTAAATATATACTGAATATGTAATCTATATAATGTATTTGATAAAATACAAATATATTTATAAATAAATAGAACAGACAATTGATGAATTTCTAGTTTGAGTTTGAAATTACATACCTGTGCATTATCTGTTGGCAAGGTTGTTGGTGGATGTTTCAAGGGTCACAAATAAATGCTAACACTTCTGTTAATTGATAAATGGGGAACCGTTATCAGCAATAATCTCAAAATTGTCCAAAAAAATCAATGAAACGGTTTAGCAAATATGCTGTATTAGTCTGTAACTAATTTACTAGCTGCTTATTAGCATGCATGTTACTAGCATATTGGCTGTTTATTAGTATGTATAAAGCACATATTCTGCATGACCATATTCTACATCCTTAATCCTACCCAATACCTAACCTTAACAACTACCTATCTAAGCAGTAATTAGGAGTTTATTGAGGCAAAAGTCATAGTTAATAGTTAATTAATAGCAAGAACTGGATCTTAAAATAAAGTGTGACCAGTATTTTGTACAATGCAGTTTTGGTCTGACTTGTAATAAATCACATATTAATAATAATAACAATAATAATAAAGAAATAAATAAATAACATCATTATCATACATGACTCATTCGAAACTGGTTTATTGCCAACCTTGTTTCACAAAGAAATCAGGGATAAATGTTGCATGAAGGTCAGTGGCTAATAACACACTTAAAGGGATAGTTCACTCAAAAATGAAAAACTCTTTCATAATTTTCTCAACCTCATGTCATGACAGAATTCATTTTTGAGTGAACCATCCATTTAGCCCTGCAAACAGAAGCAGGCTGAAAAAGTAAGACTCAAAATAAAACAAAGCTCGAGTCATCTGAGCTAAATCCTAAAGACTGGGGCCTTAAAATATCTTAAAAGCTCACAGGCTCTGGAGAGCGTTTAACTTTAACAGTGTGTCACTTTAACAATCTAATGGGATTAGGGGGTTAGAGTTGTACTGCAGGAGGCAAACAGAGTGAAACGGAATGAAACAGGATTCAGGAACAGGCAATAGTCAAACAGTGTAAAGGAGGGTAATCCAAAATCTTAATTCAAAATACACTCGTGTTTCTACTTTTGATAGTTGAATGTGCTCAGGTTGCAGCTGCTGAATTTAGAACACAGAACATCATGTACGTTGTGCTTAGACATGACTGAAACAAAGGATAACTGTACACAATACACATTATGAATGGAAGGATCCTGTATTACGTCGGCAGTTGCCGCAAAAGTGAAAACACACATGGAATATATCTATCTATCTATCTATCTATCTATCTATCTATCTGTCTGTCTGTCTGTCTGTCTATCTATTATCTCTCTCTCTCTCTCTAATATATATATATATATTATTTTTTATTTTTTTCCTAGACAGAAATATTATTAGACTTTTGC